TGGGTTTATATATAATCTGCAGCAAGAAGATGATGGACAGACACCAGTCGAAAGGTTCGTGTCTGGAGATGGTATTGACAATGTAAGAGGGAGGGTCCTCGGTGGCACGAGCATGATCAATGCCGGGGTCTACGTAAGAGCTAACACCTCGTTCTTTAATCAAACAGGGATTGAATGGGACATGGATCTGGTTAATAAGACATATGACTGGGTTGAAGACACTATTGTGTTCAAGCCGGATTTCCAATTTTGGCAAAATCTTACAGGAACTGCATTCTTGGAGATTGGTATTCTTCCAGACAATGGATTTAGTTTGGATCACATTGAAGGAACTAGACTCACCGGCTCAACTTTCGACAACAACGGAACCAGACATGCATCTGATGAACTGCTTAATAAAGGAGACCCAAACAACCTGCGAGTTGCAGTTCATGCCGCAGTAGAGAAGATCATCTTCTCTTCCAATTCATCAGGTATGCTTCCGAAGTTAACGTTTTATTATTTTGAAACATTACCAGCAGGATAGTCATATCAAATACTGAATGTGCAAATAATGTTTCCTATTTTCTTCCGAGTTGTTTGATAATAATGATATGCTCTTATATATCTAATACAGGTATGACAGCTATAGGAGTTATATATACTGATTCGAACGGAACGACTCATCAGGCATTTGTACGTGGTGAGGGAGAAGTTATATTGAGTGCAGGGCCAATTGGGTCCCCCCAACTTCTACTACTTAGTGGTGTTGGCCCAGAGTCTTACCTAACATCTCTCAACATTTCAGTTGTTGCTTCCCATCCATATGTCGGGCAGTATATATATGACAATCCTCGTAATTTCATTAACATTTTGCCCCCAAATCCAATAGAACCCTCAACTGTGACCGTTCTAGGCATCACAAGCGACTTCTACCAATGTTCTCTATCAAGCTTGCCATTTTCTATTGCACCCTTTAGTTTTTTTCCTAATCCAACTTATCCCCTGCCAAATACGACTTTCGCTCACATTGTTAACAAAGTTCCGGGACCATTATCTCATGGTACTGTCACGTTGCAATCAACCTCTGATGTGCGAGTCGCTCCAAATGTCACATTCAACTACTATTCGAATTCAACGGACCTTGCTCATTGTGTTAGCGGCATGAAGAAGATTGGTGAATTCTTGAGCTCAGACGCATTAAAACCATATAAAGTGGAAGATTTGCCGGGCATAGATGGTTTTGATATTTTGGGAATACCTTTGCCAGAGAACCAGACAGATGATGCAGCCTTCGAAACATTTTGCCAAGAGGCA